ACATGTACATGTGCCCGGTCTGAGTTATAAGCCACTGTATCTGGGACTTGAACCACAGTTAACTATGTGGGAATCTAGTGATGTAACCATTAAGTCATCTGCTGGCCCCTTGTCCTAGTTTCTTATAATCATCTAAAGTATCTATTTTTATCCAGATATTCTTTTCTAAAAAAAAGGATTAATTTTTAAAATTCCATTTGTTGTTATTTTTAATTTTGACCAGAGAGAGAAAGGGAAAGTGAGAAAGCAAGTTGCCAGATCCAGGACTCAAACCACAATCGGTAATGTGGGAATCCAGCACCTTTAACCACCTCGTCACCTGCTAACCACTTTATCCAGATATCCTTGTACAGATTTTAATTTAAAAATCAATATGGAATGAGAATCAGAATACCTGGGTTCTATTTTTTACTTACTTAACGTAGTGTTACAGGGCATGTATGTTCATCAGAGAAACAGAAAGGGAGAGGAGAGAGCACACTTCTAAGGAGAAAGGTCACATCATAATCCCTTCTCGTCTCTCTCTCCCTCAAGATTTTGGGCACACACATATACGTGCCCAATTTTTCAAGCCACTGTGTCCAAGTTCGAATCAGATGGTCAGTCATGGGGGTCCAGGTGCCTGCACCACCAGGCCATGGAGGTGGCCCTTAAAATTTATTTTTAATTGACAAATAAAAATTATGTACTTTTATATACAATGTGGTTTTAAAAAAAATGTTTATCATTGTTATTTTAAAATTTGCTATGGGGCATGTGTGCTCACCAGGGAGAGACAGAGACAGAGAAAGGGGGAGAGAGAGGAAGTGAGAAAACAAGCCATCAGACCCAGGATTCAAATCGCGGTCTACTGTGTGGGAGGCAAGTGCCTTAACCACCACACCACCTGCTGGCCCCCAATGTGATGCTTTGACCTACATATATATCACGGAAGATTCATTCAAGTTAGTTAACCTTTCCATCACTTTATCTGTTTATTATCTTTGTGGTAAGCTGAGTTCTATTTTTTGATGTTACTGAGATGGCCACACCACGATCCCTTCTCTTCCATTCTCCTCTGGGGATCTTGGGCATGCAAATTGCATGTGCCCAGTGTGTTTCAAGCTGCTGGGTCCAGGATTTAAACTCAGTTGGCCATGTAGGAGTCTACACCTTAACCATCATGCCACCTGCTCCTCCCCCCCTCACTCCCACATGTTCTCAAGCCGCCAAATCTGGGACTCAAACCGTGCTATTAGGCATGTGGGATCTGGCGGCCTTAACCACCATACCATTGGCTAACCTGATGGTTTTAATTTGATTTGCTGAGCATTTCTGTTCTTCCCGGAGCCACTTGGAGTAACTGTTGCCTAAACAAAACACACACACACACATGCCTATATCAGGTTGCAAAACTTGCAACTCACAGTGTATGTAACAGGAATATATACAATAATTTAAAAATCTTAAGAGGGATTCAATGGAATTAAGATGTTCCACAGCTCAATAATTAATATTAAAGGCAGCCAAACACTGCTATTGTCAACTAGTAAAACTCATCTATTTTTGTTTTTCAAAATAACAAGGGCATAGTAGCCTTGCAAAAAGCATAACCCGTGACAGTTCCCTTAGTGAAACATTTCCCAATGTCACTTTTAGTGAGGGAGATGAAAGAAGTGACTTTTGACAGAGTGGATGTGCAATTGATAGTTTTTTTTAAGAGGGAATTTTGCTAAAGGGTGTGTATGCTCACTAGAGAGACAGAGACAGACAGAAAGCAAGAAATCACTCCCCAGGCGGGATGGACATGCAGCAATCCCTTTTCCTCTAGTCTCCTCTCAAGATCTTGGGCACATATGCACATGTGTGGCATGAATTTGAAACTGCCAGGTCCAGGACTTGAACCATGGTCAACCATGTGGGAGGCCAGTGACATAAACATCACACCATCTGCTGGTCCTGTGCAGTTGACAGTTCTAAGGGACTGGTTAATTTTGGACGGTAAAGTATAGGGTAAAGCTATCAGACTAAGTTGATAAAGGGAAGCTGAAATCAGTGGTGTGCAGGACATTAAGGACCGTGAATTTCAGTTTGTGCAAGGGAATGTTGAAATGAACAGCTCTGTTGTCAAAGTCCTTTATAAATGTTTGAAGGTAATCTTGAAGAGTAGGCAGGGACCCAAGTAGCAGAGACACCCATAGCTGGTCCAAGGCATCCCTCTTCCTGGGGTGGCTTCAGAAGGTGGGAAGAATCTTGATTTTTAATTGTAGAATTGGCAGTCCTAACACATAAATTCTTTTGGTCTTCCCAGCTTTCTGGTAAGGTGTACACAGAGCAGAAAAACACTTTCTCCAACAAAATCAGCTGCTCAGTAGCAGTGTTGGAATTCAGAGACAGTCTCCTGGCTCATTCAATGCAGGATCTACTTTGCCGTGAGGGCTTTTTTGTTTGTTTGTTTGTTTGTTTCTAGAAAATACTAGCAGTAGGAAACCAACCCCTCAGAAAGAAAACTTCTTTATAGACTCTCTCTACACAGAAAAGGAAAATTTCTCTGCCCCAGACTCTGCTAAAAAACTTTGTGCTGTAAACTTTGGGCAGAACTGTTAAGTCGGATCTGGCCCAGGAAGAATTGTTAGGGTGCCACCTAGTGTTAGTGATTGGATTTATCCACAAAGCTTTGGCTATAAATATCCTGAAAAAGAATTTAAGGTAATTGCAAGTGGCAGATTAATTTTATAAGATACTAGGTAATAAAGCATCTAGTATTTTTCTCACATCACATTAACCTGTGCTCTTTATTACCCTGAGGGCAATACCATAAATTACTCTGTTGGATAAAATTAAAATTATGAACTAATGAAGCCCAAGATGATCTCAAAATCAACATGTTCTGTAAGGTCTTGTATCACCTTGTGTAGTGGAAAGCCCAAGAGGCTTGGTGTTTGGATGAGTTCAGGTCTACACTCAGTGGATTGGCATAAAAAAAGGTACTTCATAAAGTGCTAAGCAAAAGTGTTAGATACGAAGGAGCTTCAAAATGTTGGAAAATGGTACTGGGACCAGCAGTTAGTGTAATGGCTATGTTGCTGGACTCCCACGTAGTCAACCGTGGTTCACGTCCTGGACCTGGTGGCTTAAAACTCACACCGGGCGCGTGTGCGTGCGTGCCCAAGATCCCGAGAGGAGAATGGAGGAGAAGGAATTGCGGCGTGGCCATCCCCCCTGGGGGGTGATTTCTTGCTTTCTGTCTCTCTGTCTCTCTCTCTCTGTCTGGCAAGTGCACGCGCCCTATAGCAAAAAACCTCTCAAAAAAAAAAAAAAAAGACTCAAACTGCAGTTGACCATGTGAGAGTCCAGGGCTTTAACTACTATGCTACCTGCTGATCCCGAAACAGTTTTAAAAGGTGTAATAGATATTTATTAATTAAATTTTGGGGTGCATGTGGTTGCAGTAAAAAGAGGGCAGAAGACAGCATGAGAGGGAGCAAGAAGGCCTCATCTCCCTTGGTGAATATTTCTCTCTCTTGAGACTTTGGGTGCACACTTACACATACCTGGCTTGTTTTCTCTTTGGGCATGCATGCACATGCCTGACTTGAGTTTCAAGCTGCGCGGTTGAACTGCTGTCAGCCATGTGGGAGTCCAGCACCTTAACCACTGTGCCACCTGCTGGCCCCGATGTGTGTCTTTTTTCTTAAACAGATATTTGCTATAGGATGCATGCGCTCACTGAAGAGACAGAGAGACAAAGTGAGAAAATCACTCCCCCACCCCAAGCGCAGACCCTTCTCTTCCATTCCCCTCTCAGGATTTTGGGCATACCCACACATGCACCCAGTGTGAATTTCAAGCTGCCAGGTCCAGGACTTGAACCAGCCATTTGGGAGTCCAGTGCCTTAATTACTATACCACCTGATAGCCACCCCCCCACACTTGGCAAGTTTTTTTTTTTTTTTTTTTTGGGAGGTTTTTTCATATGGGGCGGTGTTATGTCTGTGTATGTTAGTCTAACAATTATACTAATTCCATGCTAATGATTCTAGGTCTAACAATGAGAAATCACCATTAAACCCAGTAAGTCAAACAAAACAGTAATATATCCAGTTGTGCTTCTTTTGGTCTTTACTTTAGTTAGATGATCATCCATAAATTATGTTCCCTCTTATAATCTTTTTGAGTTTCGCTGGTCCTGAGTTTTTTTTTTTTTTTTTTTTTTTTTAAGTGACTGGATCCAGGAATCAAACTGCAGAGTCAGCCATGTGGAATCCAGCCACAGGTTGGCCCAATACTTTAAAATAAAATCACTGCATTACTCTTTAATTTCCAACACTGTCCAGATGACATTTATTAGAGATTCACTATTATTCATGAAAAACTAATTTTACATCACTGTTTCTCAGTGAATCCCAATTTCCTTTCCACTCCCCATCTGCATAATTTTATTCAATGCAATGTATGTTTATTGTTGAAAGCCTTTTATTGTTTAAAATTAGTTCAGTTTTATTATGACTATTAGTATTAAAATTTGACAAAAACAATGTGTAATAGTATTTAATACAACTTTATTGAATGCAGCTTTTTCAAAATCTACTGATGCCATTTATTGCTAGAAAGAGATGGGATTTACATTAAATTTTATACCTATTTGGGATTTTACAGACGAAAGCACTGAGAAAGACTCCTAAATACAATAGGTAGATGGAAATAGCTTTGTTATATAATAAGATCAATTCTTTGAACTTCTGAATTGCAAGTGAAAAATATCATAACAATCTCTCATTATTATTTTAAAAAGCTTTTTGCCAGAGTATGTGCACTCATAAGAGAGAGACAGAGAAGGAAAGTAAGAAAGTAACCCCCATGAAGAATGGTCATGCTGCAACCCTTCTCTTTCTCCTTTCAGGACTTTGGGCACACACACACACATGTGCCAAGCCTGTTTCTCAAGCTGATGAGTCTCAGACTTGAATTATGCCATTGGTCATGTGGGATTTAGCTGCCTTAACCACACCACAGACATATAAATTAGTTACTTTTATTTATTGTGTTAGAAACAACTTTATGAAATTATTTTCATCTCTACATGTGGGAAATTATTTTGAATAGGTGGGAAAATAACTACTATGTGGAAAAACATGCTAACTACTCTCACTACTTCCAAACTAAGTTCTTATTATCTAAGAAGGCATCACACACCACCACAGCAGCTATCTGGTAAGTGCAAAAACATAACAAAGTCCTGTACTGATGCTGTAATTAAGGTTGAATTGTTTCGTCCACTAATCCTGCAACTTTCCTACAAACATTTTGTTGCTTATACAATCCTACTTCTTATAGGATGAGTACCTAACAAAGTATTCTGAAAAACAGCTCAACAGAACTTTCAGCATTAGAGAGAACAGGCACTACTGTAAGGTCTTAATGTTCAGTCCAAGTGATAAAGTCAAGGTTTTTCTAACGCTGACCATTCCGAGGACTGAAATTTAGTATCAAAGTTCTCACTTCTCCAGGAGGAGGAGTGATTCTAGCTCTTTTTGCAAAGAGCTGAGCTGCTCCTTTTCGCGGTCTTCCTTTTGCTTGAGTTCATCTAGCACAGCCTGGAATCTATTCTTGAGAGCCAGGTTCTCCACTTTCCTGATGAGATCCTCCTGCCGTTTGGCGCGGTCCTGGGTCTCTTGGAGCTTGCCTTTGATGGTATCGATCTGTTTCTGAATTCCCATAACCAGCTGGTTGTTTCCTTCATTTTCTTGGTGCAATTCATCTGATATATTTAGCTTGTCCGGCAGCTGTCTCTCCAGATCTTCTTCAGTGTCGAGGATGTTTATATCTTCATCGGGATGCTGTGCCTCATCTCCCTCTTCACTGCTGCTGCTGAGGTCATTGAATATCTCCCGAAGCTCATCATGTTCCAAGGAGTCATGGCCCTGCCTGTGACCAGACATTCCAGGAGAAGAGATATCAAGGCCCTGATTTTCTGTTTCTTTTGTTTCATCTTCAGCAATGATTTCCCAACGAGTACTGACAGCCTCCGCATCTGTACTCAGCAACCGTTTCACTTCTTTTTCCACATCTGGAGATTCAATATACTTCTTTTTGGCTGTCTTCCGGAACCTTCTCTTTCTGACATTTTTTAGAGGCAGAGTAATTCCATGGTTCCAGGTAAACTTTTTCTCTTTGTCTTTGTCCTTCTTCTTGCTGGCTTTGGGATCAGCAGAAGCAACTGGCTCTTCCACAGGAGGGCAGAGGTCACCATCCACTGTGGCTACGAGCATCTGACAGATATCAGCTGTCTTGTAAAAGGTTTTCTTATCAATGGTTTTCAGGCTTTCCATAACACAGGGCAGATCTACCAATTTTGAGGCCAGTGGGACCCCGTCCACTCTGACGATTCCATGACGCCCATCAGGGTGTAACTCAATGGTCAGTCTGTCCTTCAGGTTGACATGACCAGACCGTATGGCCCTCCTCACAGTAGCAGCATGTTCCGGAGGCAGACGTAAGATGAACTGGCTCTCTAGTTCATGAGGAACATCCTCTTTGCTCTTACTCATCTTTCTTTCTTTGTGACTGGCTTCTCTTCTAATCAACACTTGGAGCACTAAAAAGTTTTAGCTAATTCCGTTGACTCTCCGGGACCGAGCGAACGGAAGTGGAAGCCGCTGGGAGCAACGCGGCGTGGAGCCCTGCGGCTTTCCCAGTTCCTTTGTTCGTCCTGCCGCCTGGCAGAATGATAACGCTTCTAGTAGGGTCTAGGAGGGGCAGCGTTAAGTCTCACCGGTCCCCGCGGCTCCGAGTGCCAGTCCAGGTCCGCAGCTTCGCAGCTCTCCGGCTCCGCGGCTCCGTGGCTCCGCAGGTCTCCGGCCCCCAGCTGCACAAAGAACAGGAAGCAAGCTCTACGTCACGGCGCGGCGCG